CAGGACCCTCAGGACTGGCTGGTCGGCTGCTTAATGATGTAGAGCTACTGCTAGTCAGTGCAGAGGAACCACCCACGTTCGCGCTGGAGGAGATGAAGGCGATCGAGGAAAACGAGACATGGTAGCTCATCGATCCACCTCTAGGATGCCGTCCGATCAGCCTGAAGTGGGTGTACAAGGTCAAGTGCGACGAGCTCGGCGCCATTGTCAAGCACAAGGCGCGCCTCGTCGCCTGAGGCTTTGTTCAGCACGAGGGCATAGACTTCAAGGAGGTCTTTGCTCCAGTAGCGCGCATGGAGTCGGTCCGTTTGCTACTAGCTTTGGCAGCAGCAAAAGACTGGCGCGTCCATCACTTGGACGTTAAATCGGCCTTCCTCAACGATGAACTGGCGGAGACGGTCTTTGTCAGGCAACCTTCAGGTTTCGCTGTCAAGGGAGAGGAGCACAGGGTGCTCCGACTGCGCAAGGCGCTCTATGGGCTGCGGCAGGCCCCACGAGCATGGAACGCCAAGCTTGACGCCACGCTGGGCGAGCTTGGGTTTCAGCGATGTGCAACCGAGCACGCGCTCTACACGCGGCGATGGGGGAAGGAGGAGCTCGTCGTCGGCGTGTATGTGGACGACTTGATCGTCACTAGCGCGCGCACGGAGGACATCAATAGCTTCAAGCGTGAGATGGCAGCTCGTTTTTGAATAAGCGATCTCGGCGCACTCTCCTACTACCTCGGCATCAAGGTGAGACAGGGGAAGGAGGAACTCACGCTCGGTCAGAGCGCGTATGCCTCTAAGCTGTTGAAGAGGAGCGGCATGGCTGAGTGCAAGCCATGCGTGACTCCGATGGAGGAGCGGCTGAAGCTAACGAAGGCCAGCACCGCGGCGAAGGTGGATGCAACACTCTACCGAAGCATCATCGGCGGTCTGCACTACCTAGTCCACATGAGGGTGGACATTGCGTTCGCCGTGGGCTACGTCAGTCGCTTCATGGAGAATCCCAAAGAGGATCACTGGACTGCGGTGAAGCAGCTACTGCGCTACGTCAAGGGGACGGTAGATCATGGGATAATCTTCCCAAAGACCGGTGAGAGTAGGCTGCAGCTCACTGTGTTCAGCAATGCGGACATGGCGGGGGACATCGACGGACGACGGAGCACCTCGGTGTGCTCGTCTTCCTCGGGTCACCCTAATTTCATACTGACTCATTGAAGTAGAAGGTGGTGGCACTATCTACGTGCGTAAAGGCGAGTAGTACAAGCGGCTGATGGCGCATGCCAAGTTTTATGTAACTACGCCGTTCTTTGGCGAGCTTATCGATGTGGAAGCTCACCCACCAGCACTGATGGTGGACAACCAGCCCGCCATCGCTCTCGTGAAGAATCCGGTTCTGCACGACCGGAGTAAACACATCGACGTGAAGTTCTATTTCCTCAGGGACTGTGTCGATGGAGGGCAGATCGTCATCGAGTTCATCGAAACTGGTCGGCAACTTCGCGGACGTCCTCACTAAGTCGCTGGACGCGTCTTGACTCACGGGTGAAGGAGATGATCGGCATGGAGGGGTTACAAGGGTTAGCAGTAGGATTAGGGGAAAATTGTTAGATAATCTACTGCTACCTTGTGCGAACACAGCAAGGGAAAGACGGCGCCGAAAAGGCTCCCTGCTGTGTAATATATAGCCGCTTATCCTAATATAGTAGAACTGCTCACCTGCAATCAGTAGGCATATGCGTTGGCGGTGCAGTCATTTCAGTATGTTATCTAGTCACATTCTGCAGCAGGACATATTGTACTAGGACTAGATGGATAGAGTTATATAAATAGACTACCACGACAACTCAGTAAAGAGAGTTCAGATTTGTCATCTCCCAGACAGGGCTTCGGCCAACGCTACTGTATGTGCATGCTGTGTTCTCCCTTTTTCTTATAGCTCCAGCCATAGTGTGTGGGAACGGACAACGCGTGTTCATGATCGGCACGGCTAGTGGGTACTCGTCAACACTAGCGGATGCTCGACAAAATTGATTAGTGGTTCATTTGAGTGAGCCGGTGATCTCGTGGGTCAAGAGATCCCCCCAGCAGTATCCCCCAGCAGCTGGACATCCATGATCAATTAATTCTTCTACCTTGGTCAGGAGGTTCCTGCCATTCGGTATAATAGGCCTTTGGGTGACTTCTCTAGGCGGCCACAGATCAGACCAAATATTAATTTGCTGCCATTTCCTACTCTCCAAATTACTCCATGATTCAGAGTCTCCGCACCCATCATTACGCTTCTGCAAGTATATGAGCATCACTCCCTTGCTTTAGCTTCTAACGCTCCTGTATTTGGGAAATACGTGGCTTTTAGAATTCTAGCACAAAGTGAGTCCGGGTTCTGTAACAATCTCCATCCTTGTTTGGCTAACATTGCCATGTTGAAAGAATGAAGATCCCTGAACCAGTCACCCTCTGCTTTAGGTGAAACTAGAATTAAACATGGGGATCGCTTGGGCTACAGCCTTGATTAGGATCTCTTTGCCCGTCCTGGATAATAGCCATTCCTTCCAGCCTTGGATCCTCTGCCAGACTCTTTCTTTCAAGTATATAAAAACCGGTGATCTAGCTCTTATTATATACACTGGCAGCCCCAAGTACCGCTCTTTCATTGTTTCTGTCGTGATGTTCAGTGTCTCCATCACCCCTATCTGTTGTCCGTGCCTGGTATTTGGACTGAACATGACAGCCAATTTACCTGCACTGATCATTTGACTCGAGCAGTCTTCATAAGTCGACAGCAACTGCTTCAGTGTTTGTGCCTCCTCTAGATCCACTTTGCATGAGATGAGTGAGTCATCAGGAAACAATAAATGGGACACGGATGGAGCATTCCTGCAAATACTAATTCCACTAAACATGACAGCCAATTTACCTGCATTGATCATTTGACCCGAGCAGTTTTCATAAGTCTACAACAATGCTTCAGTGTTTGTGCCTCCTCTAGATCCACTTTGCATAAGATGAGTGAGTCGTCAGGAAACAATAAATGGGACACGGATAGAGCATTCCTGCAAATACTAATTCCATGCAATCTGCCTTCTTGTTCAGCTCGAGCCAGCAACGCTGAAAATCAACTTACAATGTTTATGGATCCCAAAATCAACTTTTAGAACTGAACAAAGAGATATGGACCTTAGGTGAACCACTTAAAGACTTTATAGACCCCAAAATCAACTTTTGAAGTTGATGGAAATAATAAAAAAACACCGCATAGTTTAATGGCCATATGGTACATTTAACTCTTTTTTACCCATAATAACTCAACCTAACTCCAAAAAACCCAATCCATAGAAAAACTAGAAATAGCCCAATCCAGCCCAATATCCGTCAGAAGGCATGGACAATAAAAAATTGATCTGTCGTTTTTATCTGGCCGACTTGATCCGGCATTTGATCAGGTCAAGATTAAACTATGTTTAGTGTCCTACTATCCTAACAATACTGTCAAGATTAAACTAATTTTGATATTACTCGGAAGGAGGAATATATTAGTTTGGAAGGTCAAGTAATGCCTAGGAAGGATACCTTTCGATATTTAGGATCAATGCTACAGAGAGACAGGGATATTGATGAAGATGTTAGCCATAGAATCAAAGCAGGGTGGATGAAGTGACGGCAATCATCTGGTGTCCTATGTGACAAAAAGGTGCCACATAAGTTAAAAGACAAGTTTTATAGGACGACGATTAGACCTGATACGGTGTATGGTGCAGAATGTTAGCCTACGAAAAGACGACACGTTCAACGGATAAGTGTCGTGGAAATGCGTATGTTGTGTTGGATTTGCGGTCATATAAGAAGGGATCGAGTTCGGAACGATGATATACGTGATAGATTTGGGGTAGCACCAATTGAAGAAAAGCTTGTCCAACACCGGTTGAGATGGTTTGGACATGTCCAACGGAGACCTCTAGAGACACCGGTGCGTAGTGGAATCCTAAGCCAGGATAGTAACGTGAAGAGAGGCAGATAAAGACCGAAGTTGACTTAGGTAGAGGCAATAAAAGGTGATTTGAAATGATGGAATATACACAAAGACTTAGCTTTAGATAAGAGTACTTAAAAGATAACTATTCACGTGTCTAGACCTTGATTGCTTCTGTTGGGTTTCAACTCTTGCCTACCCCAGCTTATTTGGGATTAAAGGTTTTGTTGTTGTATACTTGCACCGACACAACATTCCTTGATTTCTTGTTCTAATTTTGATGTACTATACTTGCTCCGACACAACATTCCTTGATTCCTTCCTTGTTACTACTACTATATTTACCAACCTCACAACATTCCTTGATTCCTTCCTTGTTACTACTACTATTTACCAACCTCTTCTCTGATTAGCTCACACCCATGAGCAATTTTCTTCCTTGTTCACAGTGGAACCATCAGGATCCCCTCCACCAGCACAACACATACGCATAGGTCCACGTGCTCAGCTCATACAAATGCAATACACTGCACAATGTTCTCTTTCCCGTATACAGTGCTGGGCAATCAATTCGTCATGACAATCGCATTTTATTTTATTCTCTAATAAAGCAAATACAAGCAACAGCATTACAATCTTAGACCTTGTTTAGATTGTCTCAAAATTTCAAGTTTTTTTACTCTCTCTCCATCACATTAATTTTTGGACGTATGCATGGAACATTAAATGTAGGTAAAAAAAATAACTAATTACACAGTTTGGTTGTAAACCACGAGACGAATCTTTTGAGCCTAGTTAGTCCATAATCAAACAAAGTTTGTCAAATACAAACAAAACGTGCTACAGTGTCTAGATTGTAAAAATTTACAATCTAAACGAGGCCTTATATGAAAAAAGAAGTGTTGGTTTGGTTCAACCAATTATTGTCTGCAAGCTCATTATTCGTGCTTCCTGTCTCGCTCGCAGCCAGTGGTACATGCCATCTTCTTTTCAACAAATAACAAAACAGATACATCAAAGGGTACTACTACACAAGGATGCCTTCATCGCCTATCAGACGCCACTGATTCTGCAGAGAACAGATATTTCACTCGAGAGAGCACCGAGTCGTGCGCTGGATCATATGGATGGTCCTTGGACGGGATCTCCAGAATAGCAGGGACTGGCTTGTTGTAGCTATCCACCAGAAATCTTATCATGTTGGCAATCTGTCACCCACAATAGACATCAGCAGGGATACAACTTAGAAGATGGATGTTTTTTCTATTACCTAGTTGGTACAGTGGTACTACTGCGCATGATTTACACAATGCTCCTAGAACCCTTTTTCCCCTTTCTCGTATTAATCAACGCACTTACGCATAACAGTGGGAGTATCCAAAAGCAAATTGCCCAGCGATTGGTACTAACGAACATGCACTGTACTTAATCACAGCTTAATTTAAAAGAGCTGGAAGAATGGTTCAGTAAATTAAGCTGCAAGTAAAACGAGCCACCAACAGGGAGGATAATGGTTATTATAGTAAAAGGAGATGAGAGTAACAAAGGATAATACTAGAAAAAAGGAACTGGAATCTAAGTCCAAGTCTCAAAGCATTCTCTTGATCAAAATGCCAAATTTATCCTGAACCACAACAATCTGGCAGGAGTTTGAAAAGCTAGAGCCGCTATTCTTAGTATACAAGTGAAAACTTGAGGACAACCTTTAAGGTTCCAACAAGCTCACTGGAATTGTTTACACTTCATAGAAGGGAGCTGCCTCCAAAGAAACTAAACAAAATTAACTGAACCGGGAAAAAAAAACTCATAACCTCCCCTCCTCTCTCCCATTCCCCCTTGTCTATCCATATATTTCTATACATATGGATATGCTTAGAAGGATCTGACTTAACAATGCATCAATACACAAATAATATGCATGCATGGGTGATGGTTCACTTACATACTGACTGATGAGCACAACAGCAATATCCTCCCTTGTAGTAAATTCTTTGAACGCATCCTCAATTTGTTTAACTGTCGTCTCTGTGGCATGAAACAACAAACAGTATTGATAGTTTGATACTGAACCATCAGGATCAACAACAGTAACTAACGTATGAGGTAATATGCAGCAGAAGTAATGGGGATTGCAGAATGAAATAATGATTAGAGCTCCTAGTCACTGATATGATTACAAGGTACAAGGTAAAAGCATCATTCAAGTTATTTGCATCAGCTCTATAAGTACATGAAAGCTCACAACTAAGGAAACCAGCTAGGAAGGAAATTCAGATATATGATATATCCTAATATAGTAGGCCTGCTTTGGTCCAACAGAATAAATTTATCTCCTAACTTCATGCGTATTTCTATCTGCTCTCACAATTCTAATTTGATAATATTTCTTTAGGTGAGAAGGTTAGTAAGACTAGCCTAAAATTTTTGCATTGTCTGAAACTGCATGTTGTGACTAATCCTCAATTTTCTTGCAAGCTGCAGAAAACAACAGTGCTAAAACTAAGAAAACAACAGTTTACTTCTGTCAGTATTTAAGCTGCTCTACTATCTCAGTGCTACTATATTATTGCTTTCTCTAGGTCAAGACATTGTATGCTGTGCTGGAATTCTATATCATAAGTCACCATCTCCTGGTAGACATTTGTACTTGCTTTATAAAACTGAGTTCCTTTATGCATTATACGTACCTATTCAGTTTTCTCCACCGCTGTCTGCACTTTCTCGTAGACATTTTTGTGTATTATATATATGTTGTTTAGGTTCTTGGTGAAGGGCGGGCCTGGTGCAAGCGGTAGAGTTTGCACTTTGTGACCGGAAGGTCCGGGTTAGTCATGGTCTCCTCGCATTTGAGGTAAGGCTTGCCATCGACACCTTATGCAGGCGGGAGCTCTGTCTGCGACAGGGTACGCCCTTGTTTAGGTTCTTGGTGCTGCAACCATGGTGAGCCAGAGAGGAAAAGATCCAGGGCAACTAAAAGATCAGGTCACTTCTCCTGCAGGGACTACCATAGCAGGGGTTCACGAGCTCGAGAAGGGTGCGTTTCGTGGAACGCTGATTAGTGCTGTTGTTGCTGCTGCAAAGCAGTACAGCGAACTGTCATAGAGTTTGATGTTCATTTTGGCGGATTTCGACAAGGCTGCATTTTGTTGATATACATGCTTTGGACTGCAAGGTGCGAACTGTTATATAGTTTGATTAATATTTCATTTCACTTATAGCAGTGATACAAATTAATAAATCATGTGTCGGTTTAACTTCATTATTGGCGCCAACATTGTTTCGAAAACCCTTCTTATGGGAGCAACAAATTGGATTAACATAGTCTTGTCACCCGTAGCAATGCATGGGCATTGGCTAGTGTATCTAAAAAAAAGCCAAAACGTCTTATAATTTGGAATGGAGGGAGTACTAATTAACAGCTGCAGATTTTAGCTATGTAAGCTAGAAGGTGCTGAAAAGAATGGGCACATGGCAAAGTACTTTCCTGTTTTCACGGGGTAACTCCATAATAGCTTGAAGATAAATTATAAGGCTGAACAATAATAATATGCAGCAGTGAAGAAGGTATTCGTTTGACTCACTGTTGTCGACGAGGAGGTAGTTGGTTTTCTTGCGCAGATCAACATTGCCAACGCCGGCCATCAAGAAGCCAGTGACGGTGTCCTGCAAAAATTGGTGAGAAGGCGTGCCTTTTTACACATGATGAGAAAGAAAGAAAAGATAATCGCAGATTCCCCAAATACAACCCCGACGCTGGCTGGATCCAGCAGACCTAGTAGCTACATATAATACCTCGCGGGCACGCGCCACAACTTTGTCGATCTCTAGCCCTTGCTCTACTACTCAATCGCAAGGATAATTAAGCGGAGGAGGCGGGTGGTGGGGGTGGATGTGGGTTACCTCGTCGGCGATGATTGCGATGAGGGCGGAGTTGTTAGTGGGGATGCTGGCCCTCCCCGCCATGGCTTGTGGATGCTGCTCCCAGCCCTCCTCGTGTTCGCGGTCCTGCGCCTGCTGCGAATTCGATGGAGCTCAGCGCAAGCGGAGATCGGATCGATTCCGAGAGGTGGTGCTATTGGTATGGTCCGTATAGACACGAACACATCTGGATTCTGGAAGGAAGACGAAGGAAAGAACCCACCTGCCTATGGCCTGTGGGCCTGTGGCCTCCGCCTCTAACACGGGCAGGTGGGCCATGCCCAACACTGGCCCACCTCCCGTTGACGGTCACACGGTATTTTGCTTGATTTTCGATTGGTTATTAGTTGGATCCCTCAAATATAGCTAGAAAATATATTTGAAATGGTGGCGAGACGAGGATACTTTAAATGGGCATTTATTTCCAGATGAAAAGAATATAATTATATATAAAACAAATACTTGGATTGATGCATCGAATGTATGGATGGCGGTGGGTCACCTAAAGGTCAGCTAAAGCGCGGGCGAAGTAAATCAACCTGTTCACTTGTTTGTTCGCTTATTGTTTTCAGTCAGGATTTATCAGTCATGATACAATATTTTTCTCTCACAATAAACTAGCACCAGTTAAGCTTATCAGTTTAGAAATCAACAAGCGAACAGGCTCCATATCGACAAATTGCCTGTCAACTAAAATTCCGCAAGACGATTGTTGATTCCCCTATCTGTGAAGTTTGCCAAACAAATTAAATGAAACAGGAGACCACATTGTCTTTGGCTGCCCCTTTGCAAAGGAGTTCTGGGCAAAGCTGGGGTTCCAGCCGGCGCCGACACCAACTGATGGGTGATGGCTGCATCTTCGAGACTGGGCCCGTTCGGCTGGTGCCATAATTTCACTGTTTATGATTGAAAGTTACTGTTTACAACTGATTTTTTCTCACAATTTTTTTTCTAGATTCCTCTATATTCTCCCAGCGAACGGAGCATCGTCTGTCCATGTCCAGTACAATACGCGAGCAAACATTTCTTAACCTTTGCTGCTCTTTTGTTACTGGCACCTGTGGAAACGGAGGAATGCAGTAATTTTCAGAGGTGAGCACCGCTGACACCGGTAGGTTTTCATACTAATGCACAATGATGCAAAACTTTGGAGGTTCCGCTTGCCGAAGAAGGATAGAGGAATAGCTGATGCCGGGTGCTAACTACTGTTGCCTCTATGTAATCCATGTAATCGTTTTTCAGACCTGCAAATGATGTTGTAAGCTTTCAAACTCTTATGGGCCTTAGGGCTTAGATCAATGAAATGAACTAACTAGGTGGGGAGTCTTTCTCCCCGTTGACACTCAAAAAAATATATCGTAGAGATTTTTGACGTGAAAATATCATCTGACTATCAATATGTGATTTACAATAATTCAGCTATATTTTCCATCTGCCATAAATCTTACAAGAACTACTTTGTTTTGGGTATAATATCTATCACCAACCTAAATATAGTAATAAAAAGGAGTTATATCGTCATTTGTTATATATGGCCATGTTCGCTTATCTTATAATCTATACTTTTCAGCTTGTTTTTTCAGTCGGAACAGTATTATTCTCTCACAACAAATCAGTCGGAACAATGTTTCGATTTGTTTTTTCAGCGAAGTGGACGAGGCCTATATCCCATAATATATGGTAAAGTTGCTTGGATACCTTATAGTTCCGGACGGATGAAGTATTAGTAGTCCATTATTCAAACAACGCGTACGTACGTGACTCAACTTTAGTCACCATGTCCTTAATTAGTATATATCAACGTACACCGCCTCGCATGCACCTCAAATTTCTTGCTGGTTTATTTATTTAAAATTTCTTCAAACTCAAATTAAATTTCCACTTTTCAAGGACAGTGACACAGGGCTAGGCTGACTACGTGTACACCTGCGCCTAATGGATATCTACGGACACGGTCCACATGACACTCGGGGCATATGTGGATGTCTCGTCCACACCGGGGAGGAGTCACTACAAAGACCGTGACGTCATTTCTCGGCGCGCTAAGAGTGCTGGTCTCCATCAGCCACATTTTCTGCTCGACAACGTGCTCCAACTCCAAGCCCTTAGCCAGACACACACGAGGGAGATCCAGGTCCTGTTCGTTTCGCTGAAATTTGTCTTATGTTGATACTTATACTAATTTATTACGAAAGAAAAACATTGTTCGTTCGTTGAAAAGTACTACTGAAGTAGCGTTGCCTTCAACCGCGACGTGAAGAGCATGTGCGGTGAGTACGATTGGCAGATGGCTCACCTTGAAGCTGGCATGAGGAACGTTACACAGGTGAGTCATGCGAGGTTGTGTACGTGTCCAGATCAAGGGATTTCAATTTCTCGGTCATATATGTACACCATTTTAGTTGGTTATAGTAGGTTTCCTCTGCTAATGTCTCTGCAATAAATGTATTCAATTATTTCACATGCTTGCAGTTGGTGTTGCCGACGATCCTCAAAGGTGTGGAAGTTACGGAATCCTTACCATAGTTTTCTTTAGGAAACGTGGTACCATAGTTTTTGCGTGTATAAATTATTGAGGGATCATCTATTTGCTCCTTCTCGTGAACAAGTGACGTTTCCGAGCACTTCTTATGGTGTTGAATTGAATTTGAATGTTTGAAAGTGGTACAAGTACATATTTGTTTTTGAAAATACTAGTTTTAAAAAGTATACCTTGTCATATCTGATAGATATATTGTAATGAAAATAACAGCAACAATTTAAAGGACTAACTTCATATTTACAACCAAAGAACGACTCATATCACCGAGCTTCTTCTATGGCAGCTGGGAAGGGCAATCGCCACTTCACTAGCATCACCGATGAACGGCCCTCCTTGTCCTTCTTGCCCTTCCCTCTTGACAAAGTCCTGGTCTCATATTGCTACAGCGGCCTTGTTCTTTGCTGGTGTGCTGGGCATTATGGATTACGTCGCTATGTTGTCTGCAATCCGGAGATCGAGAAATTCCTTGTACCGCCACATAACATCCGTTCTATTGGTAAGGCTTGCTTAGGTTTCGACCCAACAATGTCCTCTCGCACTTTTATGTGATTGAATTTTGTGGAGGTGGAGGGTGCATGCGTAGGTGTGGAGATCTACTCATCTAAAACTATAGCATGGATCTTTAAGGAATCTGAATGGGGCGAGAGAATTGTACTACGTTCAAAATCGAGAAGTGTTTTTAATGGTTTTATGCACATGCTTGAGTACTCTATGATAGTTGCTGTGGATATGGAGGGAGAGACATGGAGGACAATTCGTAAACCACGTGGTGCTGAAATGTTCATCCATCAAGCTCAGGGTCACCTATGTGTGTTGTGTTGATTTTCACAATATGTCTTGGGTTTTAGTGTGGATACGTGAAGACTGGTACTGATAATTGGAGATTGAAACATGTTGTGAACACGAAGGAACTGTTTGGACACATCAATATTAAAGTTGGTTTTGAGCTTTGCGATGTGGACTATAGAGTGATTACAGTTCACCAATAATGGAATTTGATTTTCTTTGTTGGGAAGGATAGAACTCTGATTGCATATGACATGGACCTTAGAAAGGTTCATGTCGGTACATGTCATCGATGTCCATGTCATCCGCTTTTATAGATCAAGAGGACGTTTCCATATGAATATGCCTTACTATCTTCCTTACGTCTCCTTGCTCATGGAGTCATTAGCAGAGCAGCAAAGGTGTATTTGCTGTATTTCGTCGTTACGACATGTCTTTGTTCAAGTACGGAGTTGTTTTGATTCTATATATAGGCCAATTTTGGCTTGGTAACTAAAGGAATGGCATGTTCAACATTATTAATTCTATTGCTTTGTTCAGGTTGTGGAGTCTGAGTGCTTTTCAACAATTTCACTACATTGGATAAGAGGCAAAGAAGAGGGCTTCCATGGTGCATTGACTACCAATTCGAAGGATGCAGTAATTATATTCATTGTGCCTTGGAAGCAAGAGTGCCACATAGGAGGACCACAACTACGTCGTTTCATTATGTAAGTCTGTAGAGATCAATACCTTTAATATGCAATCTATGTATCGCTTATGCTAGGACATCAGTTGAGAAAGATGTTATGGTACCGTCCATTGTTATTGAAAAAAGTACTCTGTTTGTGAACATGATTTATGTATGTAATGATTATATATGTATGTAATGATTATATATGTATGCTTTGTATTTAGTAAGCTATTATGGGTCGTTCATTGTTTTGTTATCACCACGACCGTTGGTGGTGCAAACGTCCAAATCCATCACTATACATATGATGCGACAGGGATAAAAAATATATCACCGCCAAATCATTTAGTAACCTGACACCAGCTAAACGATCATCAAATGCGGATCATGGTGCAAGGCGACGATGACCATGACCTTTGTACTAACGGTTCATACGCTCAAGCGACGGTGATGTTTACCTCTACACAGACGTCTCGATCGTCGAAGCGATCGTGAACCCGCACTGCAGACAGTCGGATCGAAGTACAAGGCGATAGTGCTGGTGTCTACTATATAGGCGGTTGATGTGCCCACATGACGGTGATGTTAGCCTCGACACAAGAGAATCATTGACCAATGCGGCGGTGTTGCGATCTGACACAGTCGGTTGCTAGCACCATCGAGTGCTTACTACCGAGGCCGAATACGGCTGCGATGAGGGTTACGAACCGACCGTGGTAGGTTTGTATGCAGTAGTGAAACCTAGTGTCTAAGGGGCTAATAATGTTGGGAGTGAGGGAGGTTGTGGCTACCCCCCTCCTTGTAAAAAGGCCCAAGCCATATGGGTCATGGACCTCCATGTAATTTGTAAACTAATAAAGGGGTAGGTAAGAAGATTGTCTCTCTCCACCTCCCCTATAAATAATGCCAAGGGGCCAGAGCAAGGAAGTGTTTTCCCCTCGTCCTCCAAAACCTAATCTTTAGTATTTCCTCTCCTTTCATTTTTTTGTGTGGGTTTACAGGGACTGAAATTTTTGTTAAAAATAAATATTACACCACCTTTAT